TACAAAAAATATTTATTAAAATGAAAGGACCGTTGAAAAAAATGTAGTCGACCAAACTAGCCAGAAATTTTGTTTATTAATACGACGTTTCGACCATATGGTCCTTATCAAGTGTATACTGGAAAGATTTATAAACAAATTAAACAATTAATTTACGGTTTGAATAATATAACAAGCACAACGAAATAAAATGTGATCAATTTTACCGATGTAATAATAATCAGGAGACAGGCATAGACGATAATCTTGCAAAAACGCACAAGTCACATTAACAAAAAACGTTATTTAACTAGATTCGAATTTGAGAGAAACTGATGCGTCCGTGTGAGACTTCGTCAAGAAACTAAACACAACCAGAGGTAAAACGAAACTACGTGACCTTTATTATTTTGTCATAAATGTTGTTTAAACTATCCGTGTCTTTCTGTAGGTTGATTAGATTATTAAATCTCTTGATAAAGAACATCTCAGCGATCTCTCTCTTTCGAACATACTTTTCGCTATGCAAGATATTGGGTTTCGACCAGTCAAATTCATGTCCGGATTCTAATCTATGTTTGCTAATGACTGAGTGATTAGTTTCATGTAACTTTATATTATTACAATGTTCTTTCATTCGCGTACGTAAATGTCTTTTTGTTTGCCCAATGTATGATAAGTTACAATCTTTACAATTTAATTTGTATACAACACTTGTCTTGTCATTATTATGTAAGCTATCTTTACCGCGTCTAATTAAATTATTTAGTTAACTCCAAACTCGAAACCAAATTCATTCATTAAGGGATGGTTGGTCCTTTGTCGAAAACATCAAAAATACAATTATTAATGATGACAACATCATGATCTCGTTGGATGTAACTTCGCTATTTACAAATGTCCCAAAAGAGTTAGTTGTAAATGCCATAAGAAATCGCTGGAATGATATTGCAAAAAACACAAAATTTAACTTATCTCAATTTTTATATGCAATAGAAGCGATTTTTGATTCAACTTGCTTTTCGTTTAACGGACGTTTTTATGAACAGATCTTCGGCACTCCCATGGGTTCTCCGCTTTCATCTATCCTAGCTGATATGGTGATGGACGATCTGGAGACACAATGCTTAAATTCACTGAATTTTACCGTTCCTATTTATTATAGATTTGTGGACGATGTTTTTGCGATAGTACCACGTACAAGAATTGAGGAAATGTTAACTAATTTTAATAATTACCACGAACGCTTGCGATTTACTTACGAGATGGAGATTGATTCGTCGATTAGTTTTTTAAATGTAAAAGTCATTCAATTGGGAACTAGACTAATTACCAGTTGGTTCAGGAAACCTACATGGTCTGGGAGGTACATTAATTATTATTCGAACCACCCGCTAAATTACAAAATTAACACTATCTATAATTTAGTTGACCATGCTATTTTATTATCTAATGACTGCTTCAAACAAGAAAACATTAAGCTAGTATATGACACCTTAATCAATAACTGTTTTCCTGAACATATCATCCATAGGCATATTCAAAAAAGAATTAATTTTTTAAATAATCGCGACCACAATGATACTATTGACGTGAATCTTACTCGTTTAGACAAGACTCATTTTATTACAATACCATACGTAGAGAATACGAGTCATGATCTGTACCGTCTTTTACGAAATAGTGGTTTTAACGTCGTCTACAAAATAACAAAAAACTAAATAATTTAATTAGACGCGGTAAAGATAGCTTACATAATAATGACAAGACAAGTGTTGTATACAAATTAAATTGTAAAGATTGTAACTTATCATACATTGGGCAAACAAAAAGACATTTACGTACGCGAATGAAAGAACATTGTAATAATATAAAGTTACATGAAACTAATCACTCAGTCATTAGCAAACATAGATTAGAATTCGGACATGAATTTGACTGGTCGAAACCCAATATCTTGCATAGCGAAAAGTATGTTCGAAAGAGAGAGATCGCTGAGATGTTCTTTATCAAGAGATTTAATAATCTAATCAACCTACAGAAAGACACGGATAGTTTAAACAACATTTATGACAAAATAATAAAGGTCACGTAGTTTCGTTTTACCTCTGGTTGTGTTTAGTTTCTTGACGAAGTCTCACACGGACGCATCAGTTTCTCTCAAATTCGAATCTAGTTAAATAACGTTTTTTGTTAACGTTTGTGACTTGTGCGTTTTTGCAAGATTATCGTCTATGCCTGTCTCCTGATTATTATTACATCGGTAAAATTGATCACACTTTATTTCGTTATGCTTGTTATATTATTCAAACCGTAAATTAATTGTTTAATTTGTTTATAAATCTTTCCAGTATATACTTGATAAGGATCACAACCATATGGTCGAAACGTCGTATTAATAAACAAAAATTCTGGCTAGTTTGGTCGACTACATTTTTTTCAACGATCCTTGGATTATCTGACTAGCGACATAAAGTTATTTTATAAAAAATTTATTAAAATGCATTTTTTATTCCCAAAAATTTTAAATTTTTTAATTTTAAAAAATGATATATTTAATTTAATAAATTATAGTATATATTTTACGAAAATAGTATTTAAATATAAAAAATATATAAATGAAAATAATATACTTAATATAACATGCATATTTAAATTAAATGTTTTTGCTTAAATGAAATAAACAATTTCTTGCATTTAAAGCAAAAGTTTCAAGAAAACAAATTTATTTGATTTAAAAAAATTTTTCTCTCAGTGTACATATGTCTTCAAAACGTGAAAAAGGAAGCCATAGTGTTTGGCTATTTACATATAAAGACGTGGCGATACCATATAGTGCATGAGACAAGAAACGGGATAAAACGAAGACGGATATCTCACTCTGCTCTTATCGGGTAATTGATTGAATTTTAATCGATTTAAACAGAAACCGCTTGTCGGAACGAAATTGAAGTATCACGCGAATACACGGTTAATTATTCACGACATCCTAAAAATCGATCTACTAATGTGCGCTCAACATATTAAATACACTCTCTATACGTGAATTATTTGCGGCAATATTTCATTATTTTACAATATTTCGTGATAATGCTTTATACAATATTGTAGGGAGAGTACTTGGCTTTCCTGAATAAATCTTTCCAATATCATCTCTCATCAATGTCAAGGTTGTATCCATTGAGAATAATCCAGGAGGATTTAATATAATTTTTTTAAATATAATATATAATTTGTAATTTATTTTATTCGAGAGATTTTATCTATATCGTATTTGAATATAAATGAATAAATTTACAAGTTAAAATTAAAAATATACATATTTGCAGATATTAATTCGAAAATATAATATTAGATTTGCCGATTATTCACATGAGAGATTATGCCTTTATCGAATTTTAATATAAGTGAATCAATATGCAAGTTAAAATTAAAAATAAATATTAATTCGAAAATATAATTAGATTTGCTCATTGTTTACATAATAGATTTCGATTGAATGATTCTCGGAAACAATAATATATCATATGAAAATAAACGTTAAACATTATGTAAATTAATTTATTGCTGCTGCGATATATTTAACGCATAAAATAAATTCATGTGAAATTTTTTTTTTGAATTTTAAATTAATTATTAATTAAACGATTAATATATTACTGCTTTCCATCATGCTCCGTTTAATTTGATTATTATAATTTATTTTTGAATTTACGTCATATTTTTTGAACTTTAAATTAATTATTAATTAAACGATTGATATATTACTGCTTTCCATCACTTAAATCCGTCTAATTTGATTATTATAATTTATTTTTGAATTTACGTCACATTATTACGTCATTTTATTATGCTCTCTCTCTCTCTCAATTTGAATGTGAAATTACATTTGGATCGATAGAAAATTAATAATTGTTTCTCTAACTCTGCTAGAATTAATGATATTTTATCCAATATTTCATCAATGATATTTCAAACATCGGAAAATAAATATCGCATAAAATATCATTGACTTTAGCAAAGTTAAAAAAAAATGTCCGTAATTATTAATGTAATTATGTAATGTAAATGTGAATTATAATAAAATATTTATAAATTTAAAATATTTATAATCTTTATCATTGTGCCGCCTTGATTCCTATTAGGAATAATAAAATTCTATTTATAATAAATAAACTATGTGTGAGATATACCGTCGTTGCAATATAATTACTTGTCGTTTATCAAAATTTAATTAATTATTAATTGTAATAATTATAACGAGTTATGTTTTTATAAATTAATTTAATTATTAATTTAATTACGATTATATATCAGAAGTTTTTTATTATTTTAATTATTCGATCCTGCGATTCATATCTTACTGTGTTTTCACTCGAACATTACATTTAGATTAGCAAAAAAAAATCTAAAATATAGGAATATACTTCACTTTATAATAATAAATGGAAGAATACGCACTTTAATAAACAATAAATGATCCTAAAATACGCACTTTAATAAAGATTTATTATCGTGATATAGTTACGTTGATGATTACGTTATTATTATTAATTATTATTAATGATTAATAATAATAAATTAATTATTAATAATAATAAATTAATAATAATAATAATAATAATAATTAATTATTAATAATAATAATTATAGTAAATTACTTTTCGATACTTGTCACGATCGCATTTAGGAAAAGAATTCGACAATATAAGGAGCAACTCGCATCATTATTTTTTCACGCAAGTCGTATCGCTCGAATGATAACAAGACTACCGTCTTAACAATAATATAGAAAAAAATAATAGCCAAATGTTATACAATAATGCTATTACTTTAATACATTAATGTTATTACTTTAAAATATTCAAGACGTTTTGTAATATAAAAGGCTAAATTTTCTATGTCTTCTTGCATTCCCATTTTTTCCGATAACTGTGTGAAATTTATATTCGACGAATGTGTATTAATTCTTTATAAACTTATTTAATATTATCTCGTTATTCCTTCTTATCGTGTTGTAGGACTTTGAACGAGAGTTCTTTAAAGAAATGGGGCGTGATACCAATGCCGGAATATTTTGATCCCTATCATAAAAGGTGAGAGTGAAAAGAATTTAATTTAATCAAATTTAAAATTAGGAAAAGGAAGAGAGAAAGTTTAGACAGCCAGAGCATTTCTCACAATCTATAAAATTCCTTTGAAATATGAAATTGCGTATATTATCAAATTCTCTTCTCAAGAGTTGTCTTTTTATGTGAAATAACTTTCCTTCAGGCCGATGACGATGGGTGAGATTGGCTGTTTCCTCAGTCACTACTTGATATGGCAGAAGGTAATGAGATATTCTTGAAAATATATTCGTTCATTACTAAAAAAAATAAAATAAATAAATAAATTAGGTGCTAGAGCACGGCTACAAGAATGTCATGGTGCTGGAGGACGACGTTCGCTTCGAACCATTCTTTCGACAGAAAGTCAATTACGTTTTGGAGGAACTGTCCGCCCTCGGAATCGAGTGGGACTTGATGTAAGTTTCCTGACAAAATTTATTTAAATCAAATTAATTATCAAATATATTTCTAATTAAATCAAATTAATATTATTAAGTGTAATTCTAATAATTTTAATGCGCTTCAATTTCCATAATTAATAATAATAATTAACAATTATCTTGTAAATATCACTTTAATTTATCATTTAAAATATATGTATAAAATACATGTATACAGAGTGTCCCAAAAGTCCCGGACCGGTCGAATATTTCATAAACTATGTACTTTAGAAAGAAATGTTTCAGACAAAAGTTGTATGGCTTGAAGGGGGCCATCAGATAGTGGTTGTACATAAAAGTATTAAGGTATTTAATCGAAAAATGAATATTTTACAAGATATTTTACGGTTTATGTAAAATTAAGAAATGATTTCAAGCCTCGTAACTCGAAAAGTACTCAATGAAGAAATACTTTATTATAGTGTTTTGGAAAGCTCTCGAGATAAGCTACACGAATATGTAATAAAAAATAGTTTAAGAAATTGACAGTGATCTTCACGTGACTTTCAAATGACTCTCCCATGTCAAATCATTGCCACTATCTGATGGCCTCCTTCAAGCCATACAACTTTTGTTTGAAACATTTCTTTTTAAAGTGCAAAGTTTATGAAATATTCGACTGGTCCGGGACTTTTGGGACACTGTATGATACAAAAATTTAGAGAAAAATTAGAAATATTAGAATAAGAAAATTGAAAAATTAGAATAAGAAAAAGAAAATATATATAAGAAGAATAAGAAAATATATTCATAACCGATTGTATTAATATTTTATTGGTGGATAAATCAAATTGAATAGAGATAAAAGAAATTTATTTAATCGAAATCAGCTCTATTTAAGAAATATTGATGTAAGCAGATTTAAAAAACTACATGTAACATTTTCGCAATCTTATTTTAGATACGTAGGGAGGAAGAAACTGGTGAAATCCGAGAGTCCTGTAGAAGGCTCTAAATTTTTATTGCACGCGGCATATAGTTATTGGACACTTGGCTACATTTTATCGGAAAACGGAGCGAGGAAACTGATCGGTGCGATGCCTCTCGGGAAATTAGTTCCCGTCGACGAGTATCTTCCCATTCTTTCAGATACGCATCCTAAGTATGTGTAAAATAACTAAAATGCTTATAGTTACGAGGATAAGTAGCTAATCAATTGAGTCAAGCTAGAAAAAATCAGGTTAAAAAATCAGAAGGAAATAAATCTCAAAAGTGAAAGAAATCGTGCACAATACAAAATAGAGCCTTTTGAAAATCGCAATCAATTTCATTTATTACGAGATTATGCTTCAATTCACTTTGGTGAATGCTATATTCATCTTGTTATTTCGACAGGGAACAGTGGGCGGCTCAATTTCCTATACGAGATTTAATTACCTTATCAACAAATCCACTCCTGATTTATCCGACGCATTATACCGGCGAGGACGGTTACATCAGCGACACGGAAGACTCCAAACTTATGCAAAATACTGTCACGCCTATTAAATCGGAAAATCGATACGAACTATGATTAATTTGGAGATAAAAAAGAGAATTTTGAATTATCTAGTCGAAGAAATCAACTAAAATTTTTAGCTGAAATTTATTTTCTCGCGATATTATTGATCTACTGCCAATATACTCTCATTATTAACTTGAAGCTGATAATGATTAAATATAGTCATATATGTAATATAAATAATACAAGCATTTTTATAGAGAAAAGTTGCCATAATTTTATAGATTTTTCTTTAAAGAAATATACAATTTGTTTGATTTTATACATACATAAATAATTGTGCATGCGCATAAATATATTATTTTTCGATTTTTATCGAATGTAGACACGCAAGAAAATAATTAAAATTATTATTGTGAAAATTACTAAATTACTGAAGAATACTGTGTAATACAGAAAATGTTTTTATATTTTTATATATTGTACTAATAACATATTATGTTATATAAATGTGCCATTACGATCAATATATATTATCTCAGTAGCGTATTTTGTTTATCGATGTCCTTGTGTGGCTTTCTCGTAATTATATAATGTCTTAAATTTATCGATTACGAAGCAAAAATAATCGGTTGTTTGCATATCGTACAGAAAAATACTTTTCAATGCTGCTTTTCATCGACGTATAGGAATTTTACTCTGAAAGTTGATAGACTAAGAAGATAACAAACTGAAACGGATCATTATGCAATGAATTATATGTATAGCTTTATCAAATACCATACTGTGATGGTTTAAAATCGTGTTTCATCTCATACGCGCTCATTGATGCTCCCACACACATTACTACTTGTACATACATTATCAGATAGAGGAGTCAAAGATCACGTGTGGGATCAACAAAGATAAATATATGATTATATCATAAGTGCATTATAAGTAGTAGTACTGGTGTTATTACAATAGAACGAGCATCAGCCATGAACATCAATTTCGAAAGAAAATGCATTCTCGTGACCGGTGCTGGTGAAGGTATGTCATATACGAGGTGTGGCAATAAAATAACCGAATTGGTGCTGCTACTGGCAAACGGCGAGCCGGCCGCAGCAGATCTGAACATGTCTGTGCTTGTTCATACCTTCACTAACATAATCTCGATTCGCGCGTTTGTGCGGTACTCAATCTCACCATAATTATCGCCCGAGTAAGTTCTTGTTTTAACTTGCCGTCGAATGGAGCAAAGAGTTAACCTTAAGTTTCTTGTGAAACTCGGAAAAACCGCAACAGAAGCCCATGCTATGTTAAAGGAAGTGTACGGAAGTGAGTGTTTATCGCGCACACAAGTTTTTGAATGGTGTAAAAGGTTTAAAGAAGGTCGTGAAATGACTGAAGACGATCCACGCTCTGGACGGCCTTTAACATCAAAAACAGAAGACAACATCGAGAAAATTGGTAAATTGATCCGTGAAAATCGTCGTCTGAGTATCCGGACTCTTGCTGAAGTCTCAGGAATTAATAGAGAAAGTATCCGTCAGATTTTGCATGAATCATTGAACATGAGAAAAGTTTGCGCGAAAATGGTGCCAAAACTTCTCACTGCAGAACAAAAGGAATTGAGAATGAACATTTGTGTTGACCTTTTGAACAACATTAGCGCTGATCCAGGTTTGTTAGACAGAGTGATTACTTGCGACGAGTCGTGGTTTTTTACCTATGACCCAGAAACAAAGCGTCAGTCGATGCATTGGAAGAGTCCGAGTTCACCGCGTCAAAAAAAAGCCAAAATGTCAAAATCAAAATTTAAGACCATGATGGTTGTTTTTTTTTAATATTCGAGGAGTTGTTTACATTCACTGGGTCCCCGAAGGTCAGACTGTTAATCAACATTATTACATTGAGATCCTGTCCACCCTTCGTGAAAGAGTGAGAAGGCGAAGGCCCGAACTGTGGAAGAACAATTCTTGGATGCTCCACCAAGACAATGCACCATCACATTCTGCGTTGTCTATGAAGTTGTTTTTCGCGAAACACAAAATCACAGTGTTGGACCACCCACCCTACTCGCCCGACCTGGCCCCCTGTGACTACTTTTTATTTCCAAAAGTAAAATCAGAGCTAAAGGGGACAAGATTTCAGAGTGTAGAGACAGTAAAAGCAAAAGCGACGGAGGTACTCAACAGCCTAACGGAAGCGGACTTCCAGCACTGCTTCCAACAATGGAAAATACGTATGGAGCGGTGTAGGGATCGCCAAGGAGAATATATAGAAGGAGAAAATTTGTATAATGTAAATAATAATAAATAAAATGTTTTTTAGCACCAGTCCGGTTATTTAATTGCCACACCTCGTATTATACAATATATATTATCATATATAATATATATTGTATAATATTGTTCAAGAAAAATTTAATTTTATATTCTTCTGATTTTTCGGTAAATGTTTAGAGAGGAGATTACCTTACTTTCTATGAAAATTTTTATGAAACTTATGAATATTGATATTTTACCCAAAATTTAATTTTGCAGAACTTCTCTATTATATTTATTATATGTATATATACTATATGTATATCGCAGGCACAGAGGAATCAACAGAAGAAGAAGCGACATGATTTGCCTTATCTTGAATTGGCAGTCGACTCATCCAAAACCTGACGCTTAGTCGGAAGAGGCACTATGCTGATCTTTCTTTCCTTGTATTCATTTGACATAAGTCAAATACATACCAAATAGTCGTTGCCACGTGGACGACCGGCAGAGCAAACATGTCCAAGAACGATGTGGCGCAATGTTCGAAAATCATAGAATTATTTCGAATTTAACGGGTTTTTGGAACTTTCTCGAGCCTTCTTTTATATAAACAAGACTCGAACGTTCGAGTTATCTCCCATTTTTTGCGCCGCATGAAAAACGTTTGTTATAAACATGTAACAACAACACTGTCAACCGTCGCCTAATCTACTCCGCTTACGGGCATGCGCGCCCATGCGTCATGATCAGCTGATCGCCAATCAGCTGATCTAAAAAGATTGCGCGCATGACAATTAAACAATTATCGCTGTTAGACCTCATCGGCAGCCAATGATGCGCGGCGCCCTGAGGTCACCGCCAAATTACAAAGTTAATTGGTCCACGTCGCAACGGGCTCAAAATTACGCACGCTATATAATGAGCCCCGCGCGTGGACCAGCACGAGTCTCGCACTTTTCGCTAAACCGCTCACTGCAAAAACCGCTTCGCTAAAACCGCTTTGATTAACCGCTCTTGTTCTAATATATGACCGCTTGCTCACTCGGACTTTCGAAATCTCAACTTCGGCATTATTTCATTTCCTGAAATAATTGTATATAATTTTATTTGTGTAAAACTTTAATAATTAACTGTGTAGCGTTACAAATAAAACTCTCAAAAAATCACAAAAAAATATACGTGTCGTGGTTCGTCGTTGATTTCAATCTTGTGGTGTCCTTAAAACAAATTCTTCGTGTCGCGCCTCCCGCACAATTCTATTCATTCGCGAACATTTTCTGGTCCTTCGAGCCAGATTTTTTATCCGCATCCGCAGTTCGTGGGTGAAGTTCTCGTGTGACGCCTCCAGTGCGCAAACCTGAACAGAAAGACAATCATAATGAGCGCCGATCTGAAGGCGTTGTTAGAGACACAGAACGACATCTATGGGCGAATGTCTCGCTCCGTGGACAATCTGCGCAAGATGGGCGTCTCGAGAATCACCGCCGAAGCGATCCAGGCCCGCCTCCGCATCCTCGAGACTTTGTGGACCAAATTCGAGACCCATCATGATCTCATCGTAGCGGCGCTGAAAGATAAATATCTTGAGAGTGAGTACGCAAAAGCCGATTTTGTTGATATCGCGGAAACTACATACGTGACACAGAGGAGCATGTTAGTTGAATACGCGAATAAACTCAAGGGCGAGTCGTTCACCGCGCCCAAGGCCGAAACTCACCAAGAGCACACATTCAAAACCTCGCTGCCGCGGATTAAGATCCAGTCATTCTCTGGCGCATACGGAGATTGGCCCGCATTTCGCGATATCTTCCTGTCTATTATCGGGAGGATATTCGTCCATATCCAACGTGGAAAAGCTCCATTATCTCCGTATGAGCTTGCAGGGTCCTGCGGAAAAATTAATTAGATCGTTGCCAATTGTCGGGGGCAATTACGACCGAGCGTGGTCTATTCTAAGTTCTCAATACGAGAACAAGCGGGAGCTCATTCGCGCCAACTTCGCCGCTTACACCGCCGTGCCGAAGATGAAGGCCGCGACCGCCGACGAACTAAGTCGCATCTATAACGCCACCACAACTGCCATCAATGCCCAGGAGAGCATTGACAGGCCTATCGACACGCATGGAATGGATCTCTTCAATTACCTGCTTGTTGAAAGATTCGAATGCAGTGGGAGTCCTCCATCCGCGATTCCGTCGACCCATCAAGTAACGAAGTCCTTATGGATTTTATCGCGAAGCAAGTATTCACGCTGAATGCCGTGCAGCCGGCCACTGTCGCGAAATCCGAAAAGCTTCTCGGTCCGCAAAGTCGCACTTCGTGAAACGCGCATCTGACTCCTCAACTTGCGCCACCTGCAAAGAAAAGCATTCCATATTATGCAGTGCGCGACGTTTAAGGCCAAAACCGCGGCCGAACGGAAAAACCTTGTGGAGGCAAACAAGCTGTGCTTCGGCAACTGCCTCGGTAATCACTTCCTGGCGAAGTGTCAGTCGACCAAAACGTGCTTCACATGTAAAGCACGACACCACACGCTACTGCACGACGCGTACTCGCAATCCGATGGAGCGACTTCCTTGTCCGCCACACATATCGCGTCGGACCGCAAGGCGATACGCCTCGCCACCGCGCAGGTCACCATCAAGGATCATCTGGGAAGACCGCGCGACGTTCGAGCACTGATTGACCAAGGATCCGAGGTATCTCTGGTCGTCGAGGCTCTAGCACAACGGTTGCGTCTGCCGCGGATCCGCTCCTCGATGAGAATAGCCGGAATCGGAGGAGCATCCGGAGCAATCCGCGGACGGCTATCGATGATGCTCTCCTCAGCAATCACTGGAGCAACGCTCCCGGTTCAAGCTTACGTGCTTCCGCGCCTCTCAACGTACCAGGGGCCCGTCGTGCGAACCAGCGTCATCTGGCAAAATATACGCGGTCTCTCTCTGGCCGATCCACAGTATCTCGACCGAGACCCGATTGAGATACTGCTCGGCGTGGATGCCTACTCTGCCATTCTTCAAGAAGGACTCCGCAAGGGACACAAGGACGAGCCCATCGCACAGAAGACCTCCCTCGAGTGGATCCTGTCGGGAGGTCACAGAGCTACGACCCAAAGCGGCCATGCCGCTCATCAATACGCTGTCGACCACCAGCTGACCGACTTGGTGCAGCTCTTCTGGGAGCAGAAGAAGGAATCCGCTCCCCTCGCTCTCACCCGGAAGAAAGAAGATGCGAGGACACTTTCGCCCGCGAGCACGCACGCACCGACGCGGGACGCTACGTGGTGAGGCTTCCCTTCTCCGGCGCTCCACCCTCTCTCGCGGAGACCCGCAGGCCGGCCGAGCGTCTGCTCCATGCCATGGAGCGCCGCTGCACCAAAGACGCTCGATTCGGCAGCCTCTACCGCAGCTTCATGCAGGAGTAGGACGACCTGCAACATATGGAAATTGTAGACACCTCATCCGAACAAGTGGACACCGCAAGGTGCTACTTACCGCATCACGAAATGTTGCGGGAAACGAGCACCACTACGAAGCTCAGGGTTGTGTTCAACGGCTCACAGCTCACGACCTTGGGCACGTCACTCAACACCAGTCTACTGACAGGCGCCAACCTACTGCCTGCTCTCACCGACGTGCTCCTTCGCTGGCGCTGGCACCGCTACGTCTTCGTGGCGGACATCGAAAAGATGTACCGCCAAATTCTCATTCATCCTGACGATCGCAATCATCAGCGGATACTTTGGCGATACCGTGCTACCGACAGCATCCGCGAGTACCGCTTACGAACAGTCACGTATGGCTTGGCGTGCGCGCCATTCCTCGCCATACAGACTTTAAACCAGCTCGCCGACGACGAGGGTCAACGATTCCCACGAGGAGCTGTCGCGCTGCGCCGCGATACTTACGTGGACGACATCGTGACCGGCGCGAGCACTCTCTCGGAGGCCACCTCAGCACAACGGGAGCTCCGCAGCCTCTGCATGGCGGGCGGGTTTCCGCTTCGGAAATGGGCGGCCAACAACCTCAGCGTTGTTCTCCTGGACGGAGTTCCACACAAGCACCGGCTCACCCGCTCACTTCACTCGTGATCACACGAAAGCCACGCGACACTGGGTCTTCACTGGCACCCGGCCAGTGAACACTTCACTTTTTCGGAACAAGCACGTCACATCAACGAGTTCACAAAACGACGCGTCCTGTCCGAAACTGCTCGAATGTTTGATCCGATGGGCTAGCTCACTCCGATTACTATGCGAGCCAAAATCCTTATCCAATCGGCCTGGCTCCGGAGACTTGACTGGGACACTCCTCTTCCATCGGCGGACGCGCTTGCCTGGAGGAACCTGCTCTCGCAACTTCCACGCCTCAACGAAATTAGGATATCTCGCTGGCTCGGCAGCGACGGTCCACTCTCACGCGTCGAACTTTATGGGTTCGCCGACACATCGGAGCGAGGATACGCCGCTGTGGTGTACTTCCGCTCTTCCACCGAAAAAGGCACCACACTCCACTTGCTGACCGCAAAGGCAAAGTCGCCCCCGTGAAGCCCGTGTCTTTATCTCGACTCGAGCTGTGCGCGGCCGCCCTCTTAACGAACCTCGTCGTTCACACGCGCACTTTGTTAAGTTTATCCTCAGCTCCAGTCTTCCTCTGGTCGGACTCCAAGGTCACGCTGCACTGGATCTACGGCCACGCTTCCCACTGAAAGACCTACGTGGCCAACAGAGTGTCGCAAATCCAGGTCCGACTACCCGAAGCGCAGTGGCGACATGTGCCGGGCAAGGACAATCCGGCTGACTGCGCCTCCCGGGGGGTCCTGCCAAGCCACCTGGTCGATCATCCTCTATGGTGGACCGGATCATTCTGGCTCCGAGAGGAGGAGGCAAGGTGGCCAAGCGATGACGGCGTCCTGCCGGACGCGGACGTGCCGGAACAACGAGCCGCCAACTCACTCGCGGCCACCGTCAGAGACGTCTCCAAACCGGACTTCTTCCTTCGTTTCTCATCGCTGCACCGGCTTCTCAGAATCACAGCTTGGTGCCTTCGATGGCGACGAACAGGCAT